AGACCAAAATGAATTGAAATAATATGCCAAAAAAACTATTGTAGAGTGAAACGTTAAAAAATTCAATAACTACAATTTAAGTACGCATTCTTTGTATCTAAAAGACTTAACTCCCTCAGAAACATAGTCATTCAAAGCTCTTAATCGGGGTCATTACGATCAATGACACTTTTCTTATATCCGAACAAGGCGACGGGGTATTGCCAAGCCGCCGTCACCCGAAACATGTCTCCTCGGATCTCCTGGATCCACTCTCAATGCTTTTAGGCTCTTCAAGCACCGGTAACCGTCTGCATCGAAGAGTTCGACGAGCGAATTAACCCATAGACACAACACATCGATTTTGTCGCCGGATTTTCTCAGTGGATTGCGATTCCGAACCGGTAATAGATTCTGCGAAGCACGGCTCTTGCTAGGGCTAGTGTTGGCAAATTCTCTCAGGTTGAGCCAATGAACTCACCTACCCGTCCACGCGTAGCTAGAATAGCCCCTTAGGCTACCAACAAACAAGTAGCTGAAAAAACTACTTACAAGTGTTTTTTACTACATCTTTCATGTTTTGGTTTTATATGAAAATTCAATTCTTACTCAATGACTTTTCCCTATTGACCTTCTTGATTGTTGAGTTCAGTCGCATTTTTTTTGAGCGACCAAAGTTGATTACTTGCAATCAGCTCGTGTGAACCGGCTTTACTCAATGTGATATTGAAATACCCTAGCCATGTCGTATTATTTCATGAGCTGTTAGTATATTTTGCGTTCTACGTTTGATATTATAGTGGGTATTTTAGTTCGGGCGCAAGTTTTACGTTTGGCCAGTCCGGCAAGTTCATGACGCGCGCCGTAAATTTTGTATTTGGCATCTGAACGTTTCGGAAAGTTTATATTTTCTAAGGTAATATAGACATCTAACTTACAGCCTACCTGCTGCAAAGCGGTTATCGGATTACTGACACCACAGCGCGGCTTATTTTGACGGCTGTCTTATCCAGAAATTCGAAAAACGTGACTACTTCAGGACAGAAAAAAGCATAATGGTTGTGGTACATACCAGTACGAAATTTCCCTGCCTCTGGAAATTAAGATAGGGATAATGGAAATATTTTTCACTGTCTTGGATGCAGATGAATATGCAGTCCACCAATTCGTGAACAAAGAAGTTGTCATAGAGAATACCGTCCAGGAAAGGGAAAAAATATTATGTAGTCAGGCTGTAGATGAGAAAACTGTTACTACAGATGTATAAAAAAGTAGCTGTAATAAATTGAAAAGGCAGCGGCAAAAAGGCGTCTTCTGATTACCGAGACGATCTATTATTATCATTAAGATCCTCTAGCCCGGTGGTCGGAAAACACGCTACGTAAAAGAGCGATTAACGAAATTAAAGTTTTTTTTAAACTAAATCTTTATTTAGAGGCTTTATTTTCAAAAATGTTACTCGACTCTTACAAGGTAAGTTAACAAACTATGTTCAATGGCTGCATTAAGCATTTAGTGCCAAGGACAGGCACGAAAGTCCACTATGCGTCCTTGCTTCGGGGACGTGACGTTCCTAAGATCATCCTTTTTCCAGATCATTAAGCTTGTTCCTAATCACGATCGCATTTGTGAACAGATTTACATTGGATACGTAATCTTTTTTAACTTTAAGAGAGTTTCTCCAAAATTTAGATGCCAGCGTTCAAGTCATATGTGCAGGTTCACCCTTTAATGTAAGTCGCCTCTTATAATAAAATAAATCCGGATATTTAGGTACTGGTGGTGAGGCGCATTTTGCACCCGGTTCTACGTTTACTCAATCCTAAATATTGTACCAATTTGCCGGTACAAGATTTCTAGCTACCCGAGATTTTAACATAGTAGGAAGCGGCATTCACTTTGTAATGTTTATGAATTGTGCCACTTAAAATCAGTAGTGCTACGGCCTTAAGCTTCAGAGCTCGTCTGCCGTTCTTACTTAAAATAACAATAACGAAATTTTTATTTTTTTATTTTTATGCTAAGAAACAAGATTCCCAATTTGGCAGTCAAAATTTTATCAATGATTTATGTCATTTGCATTTATGGAAATCTGATTGTACGTTTTAAAATAAAGATTTCATATTGCAAGAAACATGTACTTAATCTTTTTGTTACTGCGCAAGAAATCGACTGACCTCCGAAAAACGTCACAACTTTCTTCAATAAAATCAATGAAATATTGAACATAAAATGAAATGTTTTGGGTAATTTTTCGGCTATTTTTTTCTTACCAGTGATAATTTGTATGGAAGAATACAGTTTAATATATAACAATAAGTATGTTTAATACATACATAGCAATACGAAATTGTTTGTTATTACTCAAATGTTTAATATACTTTATTAATTTTTATCTAATGTCAGAACATTTTGATTAGAATTGTTCTCATTAGGATTCATGTGGGGACTTAACTTGTAAACAATCTTTTTTTACAAAGTATCCAACAAATATTCACATTATCTATCTTACGTACATTCCAACCAATTATAATTTAAGTGTTGAATACTAATTTATTTTTTATTTTTTTATTGCTTAGATGGGTGGACGAGCTCACAGCCCACCTGGTGTTAAGTGGTTACTGGCCCATAGACACAACGTAAATGTGCCACCCACCTTGAGATAAAGTTCTAAGGTCTCAGTATAGTTACAATTTACAATATAATAATAAATTAAAATATCTATCTCTTCATTACTTAGTTTAGCTGTTTTATGAATCAAAGGTGGAAATCGTAGGGCTCAGTTTACAAAAACAAACATTCCCTCACTCTACCAAAATATGCATTCAGGTAAATGAAAAATTTTAATTGAGCTAAGCTAAGCTGATGATGTAGAGACCATTTCAGCGTCACCGGGCTAGTAGGTGAGCTCACGGGGCTCAAGCCTGACGATGTTGGTAACACGAACCCTAGCAAGAGCCGTGCTTCGCAGAATCTACCACCGGATCGGAAGCGCGACCCACTGAGAATATCGACGAGAACGATAACCGGTGCTTGGGGAACCTAAAAGCACCGTTAGTGGATCGGGAGGATCCGTGACGTGACGATGATGTGTTTTGGGCAATATCGACTGTTTACCATTTGCTCTGCAGGATCGACTAAGCAGTTACCGGCGGCTACGATGAGAGGGTTCTCGTGTCGTGTCGTGCCGCTTTATGGAAATGGGTTTAGTATATTTAAGGGAAAAACCCAAGCAACAAATTATTCTGCATGTCATGGTTTCTGTTATTGAAATGTATTTTTAGTAAATATAATTGATATTAATTAATTATTATAATACATTACTTAGATTCAGAAAAATCATAAAACATACATAACATAACAAAATCTAATTTTATCTCAAAGTTGTATGCAAAGGGTATAAATTGCACAAATCAAACAAGTTTATCTCTTTCATCCTTGATAATAAAGACAGATACTTTAAGCCAGTCTTTTCTATATAGATACCAAAGATAAAGTAAAGCTAACAGTGAATCCGTTTCATAATATTTTTTTACTTCAGTTTTCTATGTGAAAAAGAACCAGATTACTTTCATTATATAATTGAAAATACAGCTTTGAAGTTATAATCTAAAAAAACATCCTCCTTCATTTTTTTGGTTTATAACAATTTTTATTGCTATACAAATGCCAAAGGCTCAGAGCCAATGTGGTAATAAGTAATTACTAGGGACCATAGACATCATGTGACTTCTGTCACCTAAGATGGACCTTGACGCCAATGTCTAAACTCTAATTTTTAATAGCTGTCTCATCTATAAATTGGAATGCTTCAATTCTTCATGGCATTCATAGGAACCAGTGTGACAGTTCAAAACACACCATTATGATGCATATATTTTATAAGTTTTACCATTACAATCAAATAAAACGATAGACATCCACACCTGATGTAGAATTTGAAACTATTATAGAATATAATTTAGACTACAAAGACACTTATGTTGTCTCAATTACACTGAAAATATTGATACCTACAGATATCAATAAAAATGATGGTAAAATTGATAAGAAAAGATTATAACACAATTCAAACCACAACCCGAGTCTCGTGGTGGGTAGCAGCAATCACATTTAGCATGGTTTTAGTGCCTAGTCATCCAGTAACAATTTAACACCAAGGAGGCCATGGGTGACAACTACACAACACCACAAAAAAAATTATCTTAATATGTAACAAAATCATTCTACACAGACATAGTCGAGGCGAAAACTTGGAATCTTATTTTAACAAACCTCCCATAATTTTAGATTATCACAAATAAATTACTGTAAAATTTATAAGTGTAATGTGAAGCCTCAGTGGTTACTCAATTAGAATTAAAATCAGAATCTAAGTTTTAGTGTTTTTTCAGTCAGTTTTGTTAATAAGCAATACCATTGATTTGGATATATAGTTTATCTTCAAGAAGACTTGCTACATTCAAGAAAAGAATACAAATGAGTGTTCTTTCTGATGTTGAAAATGATGCCATTAGCATAATTTGGTATCTACCTCACATCCTCATTACATACTGATGATACACAACAATTATGCGCGACAGGAAACAAAGAATTAGTGTAAACTGAAGGAAATTGGTTGTTCTACCGTACTTATTGCAGTATTCAAATTCAATACTCAAAAAATAAAGTAGCAAAATGAAAAAGTTTATTTCATAGACTTATTAAACTCAACCTATGTATCTTTGTGCATTAACATGTATGTATAGTTTTGATTTTGAATCAAACTGGGTGAGTGGTGAGTAGCTTTTTAGATTTTTTAAGCTACCGTTGTAAAAATGGATCAACAAAAAATTATAAGAACAACGATCCTATAATAATTTCCATACTAAATAACCTTGTGCAGAATAGAGAATTAAGCCATCCCAAATGAGTGGCAAATAGACGAAAAGGTAACCTCAAACAAATCTAATTTTAGCATTAATTCGAACTAGGCCTTGATTTTAATGTTTCTAACGGTATTATATGCTGTATTTACGTACCCTGGAGAAGGTCCTGAGACGACTAATACGAGGGTTCGATGGAACGTTATTCAGCGACACCTTTGACATTTTCACTTATTTATAATTTTATTTATTATACAGGTCAGTCACTTTACCCCCACACCAACAGAGCTTGGCTATCGTCCTTAGCGACGATTTAATTAATTAAGTATCAAGTTCAAGGAAATCTAAAAATCCACGAAACCTTGCTCTTCAAAACAGTTTGAATGAACACTAATTACTGTTACGAATAATGAAACCCCATGTTCGGTTGATTATTTTTGCCCGATTATTAAAACAATGCCCTCGTTGTTTTATTCACGAATATTTTTTACAAAATAAAAATAACAATTTATTTCAATAGGTTTTGACAGATTACTTGCGTATTTATTAACGTTTCGTTTCACGGTACACAACCCAACAGTAACTGTTTAAGAACTGCACCTCACGCCGTCAGACCGACAACTGTCAAACTATAACTAAAAATTGCGCGCCAAAGTCTTGAGGCGCGAAAATTTTTATTTTGCCGACAATTATTTCCGACTTGAGGCCAGTGACCGTTTCATCCACAATATTTTAGTCTCATGGAGTTTACAAGCAAAGGTGAATACAGAAAAATAACAATGTCTAAAACGAAATGTCGATTGCAAACTTTAGACTTTAAAAGCTATATATCGGTACATTCCTGGTAAAATACTTTATTATTTAGTTTATTAATTAATTACTATATTAATATAAATTACTGAAATGTTTTATTTATTTCGTTATTAGCAGACTTTTATTAGTAATAATTTCTTTTCGTAAAATAGTCTATGAATATATGTACAGATGTGCACAAATCTAAAATAAGCATCACTGCCACTTTTTCTGAATGACCCCTAAAAAATGTAGGATTTGTTAAGTACTCATGATTTACTAGGAAACGACATGATCAGCTGTGGCGATGAATTTTAAAACAATCAATCAAAGATTATCTGTTGTATAACTTACCAGAGAAGTTTCAGTGGGGTTAACGCGTATATGAGGTTCATCGTCTTTGACGGAGCACTCGGCACCCGCAGTTTGACCCATCGTGGAGCTGGTCAACGTGTAGGGTGAACTGTCGATGTCGGCCTGTGCGGGCCAAGCGGCGGTGGGCCGCGTTGAACCCGCCCGGGCGTCAGACGTGCAACCACTGCCGCGCTGAGCTTTCGAATTCCCACGTATAGTCCTCGGGCGATAGAGTAGACCGTCATACGGATTATCGATAATTTTTGAGCCTTTTTAATTCACACGTTACAATAATTTTCTCTTTTGGACTATTTTGGTATTGCTATAAATAAAATTTTTGCTAAATAATCAAAGTTTATCGAAATTTTATAAATAGTAGATTCTAAAAGTCAGACTATAATATAATTCATTCTTTTGAAAATAATAAATTCGTCCGTTTTGCCATTTATTTTATTTATTATATTATGAATGAAAAATGTGCTTGGTACATTTTTGGAAAAAAACATCGATAGTCCAATACTCAAGCCTAAGACTGGCGCGGTCGATACAGCGGGAGGCGGGCGCAAGTCCGCACTGCTGTCATGAGACTTTATAGTTTTTAAACTTAAAACACTTTCTTTTGTGTATGAAATATTCATTATATAAAAATTTATTAATCTGTCGTAACCTAACGTGTCGCGAAGCGAATAAAGGAAATAAAAATTTAAACTATTCGTACAATAATAGGCTTATTCCTAATACGCATTTGTCCAAAAATACCTTAAACGTTTTTATATAAATAAAACATATTTATTTCAATTAACAAAAAATAATTTATCTAACAAATAAAAACTATTCGCAATTTTCGAATTACCTCAAACTTTAATTATTAATACTTTAACAATTTAATTCAATGTACTATTTTAGATTGAAATTGAAATTTTGAATCTTGGATCGAATCATGCAACCAAATCTCGTTGATGAATCGTTCAATGCTCGGTGCACGAGATTACAATTTGTGATTTTTAAAAATCTTTTCATTCATTTTAAGATAAAAACTGGAACAATATTTTTTTTGTCTTAAACCATATTTTATTATCGCAATCAATGTACTCAGAGGTCTATTGGGCAACCTATGGATATAAATATTAATAGTTGTATTTGGAAACAAGGTATCAATTTAATTCAAAAATTTTCAATTAAGTAAAAAGTTTTGTGGTCGGATTCTCCATAGAAATAGATACATAATAATAACTGGAAATTTCTATGTGCGCTTGTATTGTGGCTTCTAAAATTTTTTTTATTGACAAACGCTTCTCTTCATGAAATCTTTGAATTCTCACCTCTTTTATTACCCCGTAAATTCTAAATTGAAGATTATAAACTTAAAAACTTTCGTAAATTTCGGTTTTATTTGGAAACAAAGACAATTTTATTAAAACAGCGCCATCTATGAAAATCATGAACAATAGCAGCACATGCTTCACTAGATAAATTACTTTCAGCGCCACGTCACATGTTCGTTCATATATTCAACGGTAGATGGCAACAACCACACAAAATTTTTAGAAATCTACATTTTTGGCAGTTATTTTTTATTGTTTTAAAAACAGAGTTCAAATATTAGTCTTAAAGATGTAGCTGTAGTCTGTCCTGTTTTTATTGGTTTTGTAGTATCGAATTTTTACAGCTTATGGGGTCACTAGTGATAATGTGTTAGTTATAATAAACGCTAGGTTCTAGGGGGGGTTCTAAAGTAAATAAATAAAAAAACGATACATCTACAACTCGCGGATGCGGAAGAGATCGTTACATAGGGTTGCCAGCTTTCAAATACTTTTAGTGGGAGTTACATAAACAGCGATTCAACAAGACTAATTTTTTACAGAGTTTTTCTTTCGTCCGTGGTCTTTGCCAAAAAGGGATTCTGTCATCAATAATTTTTTATTTCTTAATTTGTATTATTTTGTAAAGGGGCATTCGGACTCACGCTTTACACACTCAACAATGTCAATATCAGCCCAGTACTATTGTTAAATTACGAAAAATCATGCTCGCCTATCGTCTATACCCCTTAATATTCTACTTACTCATGCGATATGAGTATACTAGGTGTCTTTAGATGTACCGAGGACGTTTCTACACAATTTTTCTTCTCATTAGTTGAGATTTTTGCAGAATGGCATGATCAACACCTAGTGCAGTCAGACGCAGACAAGCTGCGCTTAAATAGGTCATTGCTATTTAAAAATAACTATCGCCTGTTTGGAAGGATTGCAGTTGGTCTAGAGACCTTGCCACTTGACCAGGACGGATGGGTGAGCTCGAGGACTCAGCGAAGATGTGAAAGCTTGCGACTATTGCGAGAACGCCCGCGGGGGGCCTAGCATTTCAAGGATAGGTGCTTCGCGAATTCATCTAAAACAGGATCAGAATCCCAACGCACTGAGGAGATTCAGCGAGAGACTCAGCTGGCTGATCTTAAGGTTCACGTCAAGCTTTTCGACTAGTTCGACGAGCCTAGTGACCTCGGTTTAAGTTGCTATTAGCAGTTACTTCCAACTGCACTAAAATAATTCAAGTACATAACTCGAGCCAGTACAAAGGTATTGATTCAACGTTTCATTAAGAAAGTCCAACGATCGATAATATAATTTAATAACATGAAATCTATCGCACTACACGCCGATGATTGCTTTAGAGGGACTTTTTGATTAATTTAATGGAAACACATTATCGTTATTAACAATTGACTGGAAGCGCGTTAACAATATAGCGCCATCAAATCATTATAGACCTGGTTAACATATTGACGTGTAACTGTTTCAAAAATGGCTCAAATAAAAGATGAAAATCAATCGAAACAACAACAAAAAGAAAATGAAACTCTGAACAAAAACAAGCTGAAGAAAGTCGTGTATACATTGAAACCAGCTTTGATGCTGGAGAACTGGTTCGGATTGTTCAGATTTTCTATAGTTAACGAAGAAGAACTAGTACCTCCTAATGCAAAACTGAAAATATTCGGAGTGATTCTTTCGATATTCTTTATTGTAATGTTTGCGGTTTTTGTTGACTTTCCCGATACGGAAACAGAAAGCATAATGGAGTTAATGGACGAGGTACCATCTATGGTGGTTCTGTCCCAGTATTTTATTGCCTCGATCACCACGTCATCTTGCCTTAGCGCGATAGCTATTCGCATTTTTGAAACTTTCGCCGAACTCGATTCCATGCTCCTCATTACAACCACCCAAGACTTTTACAATAAGTCCCGGTATCAAACGAATAAATATTTAATAATTTTGGGTGTGTCTCACATAATCAGCAGTACACTGGATCTATTGACAGATGACGAGATAGTGTGGTGCAAATTGTTCGTCCTACCTATTTATTTCTTACAGAAACTGGAAGTTCTGACTTTCTGTAAACTAATAGTCATGATTCAATGTAGACTTCAAATAATCAATAAATACCTAACAAATTTCATTGAAGAACAAGAGAAAAACAAAGCCTTAGTATTTACTTTAGCAGAATCGAATCCAAAGAAAACTGACAAATTCAACTGGATCGGGTGTCCTTCCCCGAACAACATGAAAATACGTGATCTGGCCACTATGTACGATGTTATTGGAACTATATGCTCATTAATCAATGATTTATTTAACATACAAATCTTCATGACTCTAGTTTCTACTTTCACGTATATCGTGATAGCGATTTGGAGCACTTTATATTTTTACAGAGCTCCTAACTTCACCTTTGGAACATTGACGACGATTATAATTTGGTGTATTACAATAATACTCAGTGTTGTAGTTATGTCATTTGTTTGTGAAAGACTTGTGTCTGTCCGTAACAACACTAAAATTCTTGTGAACAAAGTGATTATGAATTACGACCTACCCAAAACTATGAGGGTTCAAGCCAAAGCATTCATGGAATTGATTGAGGCTTGGCCTCTTAAAATTATGGTTTATGACATGTTCTCGGTCGATATAAGCTTGATGCTCAAGTTTATCAGTGTCGCTACAACATATCTAATAGTGATTATTCAACTCTCTCATTTTGTCTAAATCTGTATTATTATCAGCAAATAAGATTTCTAAATATTTGCGTATACAAGTTGAAATGCAAAAAATAATGTTTGTAGGTTTGTATGTATCAATCAATAAAATTAACAAATAAATCATTCGAATTTATATACTGGTTTATTTTCGATATTAAAGAAACTTATTTAAATTATTTCTTCTAATGGCACAACCTCGAAGAATTTCTTTAAGTTTTTCATAACAGCTGATATACCGTAATGCACAATTGGATCGCCAAAATCTTCCGCGACCATTCGCCAGTTTTCATTCATAAAATTGACAACTGCATTACCTGTTGAAAAATAGTTATAATTGTTATATATTTATTCACCAGTGTCGTAAAAGGACCTTATTGAAAAAAATCAAGAACCCAGCACTTTTAATGTTAAGTACATATTTAATTTTAATTAATTTGAAACTTACTTATTTCTGGATTCCCTTTGAGTAGATTCGTAACACTGTAAGTAACTCTGCCATCATAACAGTGTGTGAAATTTGAGCTGGTAACTTCCAGGTGACTCATGCCATCTTTACCAGTCATTGGTTTGATAGTGAGAAAAGCGTGTAGTCTGATGTTACCTGAAATAAGTTATGATCAAAAATGATACTCAGGATAAATTTTATTATAAATACTATTGAATATAATCCAATAAGAAAAGTGCATGCACAAAGAAAGAACATTAAAAAATTATATGTATAACTAAATAAACCACGCTACTATTGCAGCTTTGGAGACTAAATAGTATTTGGAACTAAATTATGTATCCGTTTTATTCTTATGGTATAGGAAATCAAAACTTACTGCATTTTATAATTGATTTTCCGTCACCGTCAATGGCAAACATAAGAAACCTTCCCACAGATCTATAGTGTCCCTTTATAGTTAAATTACAGTGGAACTGAGTTTCAAAAACATGATCTTTATACCTGAAAATTATACTTTAAGTATGCAAAGAGTCCAATTTTGTTGATTGATCAAAATATGCAAGTCAAGAGTATAGAATACGTTATGTCTCGGAAAATTATTTATAAAAAACTAGCTGACCCAGCAGACTTCGTAGTGCCTCAATCGATAAATAAAAGACCTAAACTTTTGTATAACATAAACTTAAAACAAACAAAAGGAATCCGTCCGACGGGAGGACACATCAAAGAAAAAACAAAATTGTTATTTTTATTTAATTCCGAGCATTTTCATATTTATCTACCTTTTAAACCTTCTCTGGACTTCCACAAATAATTCAAGACCAAAATTAGCCAAATCGGTCCAGCCTTTCTCGAGTTTTAGCGAGACTAATGAACAGCAATTCAGTTATATAAATAGATAGATAGATAGATAACATACCTTGCAAAATCAACCCGGCATTTTTTGAGTCCTCTAGCAACACCATGTTTAAACTCAATATTCATATCACCGGGCATTTTTAAATTAAGTTTTTCTATACGATACGGATCTAAACTTTCTAACCCAATTTCCCTTATACCCTCTACGAAAATAGGTAATCCCATCTGTAGCGTTTTTGTTAGACATTCTTCCGAGAAATCTTCACATGGTTTCTTCAAATCTGATCAATAAATGTTCATCAAATAACCAAACAAAAAAGTGTATTATTAAAAATTTATAAAAAGCTAAATATTTAATTATTTTTTTACTTACATGCCGTTTTTACAGAAACCGTAAAATCAGTCAAAAACAAAACTGCACTGTACAAATAAAAATACTTCAACATTATGTGCACGTCTTACATTTAACCACAATTTTAACAATTTAAACAAAAGTTAAATGTTTACGATTGAATTTATAGTCGTAATGTTCTTGGTGATTAATTTGATTTTAAAGTTGTTGCGTCACTTAATTGCATGAGCGCTTAAGCATATTTTGAAATCCAGTTATGGTTACAGAAAGCGCTTTATTTCTAGAAGCTTCTATTGATTTAAAAAGTCCATTTTTTGTATGAGATTTTCTTTAGGAAGTCTGAAATACATGGTCGGAGCGGCGACACGGCGTGCTCTCCTTTCACCTTACGCAGGTCTTCTCGGGACATGGCTGTTTCTGGAGGTACTGTGAAAGGTCTACAGGAGAGAGCCACATCCGGGTTGCCACCGTGCGGGCATCCGGACGATGACGCTCAACACGTGCTCGAAGCGTGCCCGTGTTAGGAGCACTCGCGGCAAGATCTGGTAGCGGTGCTGGGGAGAGACCTCTCCTTGCGGGCTGTCGTCGCCCGCATGTTAGAGGATCAGAACTCGTGAGAGGCAATGGCCAGGTTTTGTAACCTGGTCATGGCGTACCGTGAGGCTAAAGAGCGCGAAATGGAGTGGGATCTCTCTTCGGCACCTCAGCGCAGAAGGTGGGGTGGGCGGCGCAGACGTGAAGCTCCCACTCAGCCTCCGTAGGGACTTTCGAGGGGCGGGTGCGGGGGCGTCCGGTACTCGACTGTCAGACCGGTGGTAAGGTGGTGCAAGGTGGCTCCTGTGCGCCGTCCACGGTGTCTGCTGAGACGACGTCCTTCGGGATATTACCGGGCATAAAATCCCGTCGTATCATCAGGATAGGTACCGGCGAAGGCGGACTTTCGGGGCGCACTGCGGTACCGTAGGTTTGGTGTAGCCGGTGTGGTGGAGCTCAATGGGGCTTAGTCGGTAGTTGGTTTTCGTGGCGAGCCTCTCGCGCGCCTTTTTCAAGGCGTAAACTACTACGAGGAATTGGGAGAGCTGGAGGACCTTGGCCCTCCTCGTCTCTCTCTTCCTCTCTGGGAACGCCGGAGTCCTACATAAACCGGTCCGTTACCCCCTTTGACCGGGGGTATCAGTAAATGGATTCCCCAGCGTTAAAACCAAAGGAAGTCTGAAATATGGAGTGGTTGTAGTATTGGATAAATTGAAAAACATTGTGTTCAAATTTTTATTTGTCACCAAATCTTTGATCAATATCTTCTGTAGGATCTAACGTAGTGGGCTCAGTGAAAATATTGTTAATTATATCAGAGGGTATAGTGAAAGGTGGAGAACTTGAAGATTCGTTTATAGGTACTACAAGCTTCTCTGTAGTTTCTTCGTTATTGTTTGGTTGATTATCAGGCGACACGGTCGTCAGAGGCGGAATTGTCTCTGAAGTAACCTCGCCACTGGTACACTCGGATTGATGTAGAATTTGCACATCTGAAACAATTAATTTTTCATTAAATAATTTCTCTTCACCTTTATGCCTTTGTATAGGTTTAATGGTAATTGTTCACCCTCGCTTATGCACATCAGGAATTCTTGGCCACTACCTACTGACTATAATAGCTTCTGCCATTTTTTCTTATCAGCCCACAGACGTCTACTGCTGGACTTAGGTCTCCCCCAAGCCTCGCCACACTAGTTTCCAATATTTTAAAATAAAGATACATACCAACTCCACATAACTGTGCACAAAGCAAATGGTCCGCATTGTTAAAAGTAAAGTTATTGGTCCCACAAATGGGTTCATATATCTGTGATTGGGGACAAGCGGCCAAGCATTCTCCTATCGTCGGCTTCCATGGAGGTACCGTACTAGAAGGTACATTAGGCAAGGGAATATTATTGTTTCCGTCGTCATTCGGCTCCCTATTAGGTAATACGATCGATGGGCATTTTCGTCTTTGCATTATCTCCACCTCTGAAATAATTATAAAAAATTATAATCAATATTAAAATAAGTCAAGAGTGTTAAAAATCAAGTAACAAGTACTTACTGACTCCACATGTTCTAGCACATTGCAATCTACTGGGGTTCATGTACGTCACTAAGTTCGTCCCACAAACAGGGTTGAATTCAGATGTCGCAGGACAAGACTTTATACAAAATTGGACTGCTGGAGTCAAAAGTAACTCGTCCGGTGACNAAATTATAATCAATATTAAAATAAGTCAAGAGTGTTAAAAATCAAGTAACAAGTACTTACTGACTCCACATGTTCTAGCACATTGCAATCTACTGGGGTTCATGTACGTCACTAAGTTCGTCCCACAAACAGGGTTGAATTCAGATGTCGCAGGACAAGACTTTATACAAAATTGGACTGCTGGAGTCAAAAGTAACTCGTCCGGTGACAGCATTGCAGTAGTTTGAACGTCATTAGTGGCTGATGAAGGGCACGGAGCTCTTCTATGTATCTCCACATCTAAGATAATGTTTTAATTTAATTAATAGTAAATATTGTTGTCTTCATTAATCACAAGCGTCATTATATTCATAGTGATTATATTTACGAAATCAATGAATCAATGTTTCCAAAATAATATTAAACTAGATAGTTTGTGGTTTTTTCTTATATTAAATTCAAATTATGAATTAATTGATTGATTGTATCAAGGAACAGTAAAAACTTACTGACTCCACAAATACGAATGCATTGTATATAGCTTGGGTTCTGATATGTCACGCCATTGGTTCCACATACTGGTTTGTTCTCAGTGGTGGTGGGACAGGATTTAATACATGTCAGGGTACTGAGCGACAGTGGCTGTTGGACCACGGGCTTTCGATTATCGATTGTGCATGCTGACAACTTCGTGGCTCTGATGTCTGGAAACCAAATAAAGTTTACAAAAGGTGTTGACCTGTAATTAAGCTTGGAGCTTTAAAATTAAACACCAATCATAACTATAGTTACTCAAAAATAATTAGATAGATACGGAGTTTTTTGATTCTAAGGTAAAATTCACAATTTCATCATACATCAATAAGATTGAAGGCTATCTCCCATAGACACAGCCCACTGAGTTTCTCGCCGCATATTCTCAATGGGTCGCTATCCCGATCCAGTGGTAGATTCTGCGAAATACTGCTTTGCTAGGGCTAGTGTTAGCAAATTCTTTCAGGTTGTGTCCGTGAGCTCACCTACCCGTCCGTGCGTTGCTGGAATTGCCTCTTAGGCTACCAGCGACTACATAGGAAAAGAGGGCTGAAATTTATAATATTTATAGCTCTCATCTATTGAAATATTCTTACCAAGTCCACACATCTGAGCACAAACGATTGCCGATGGATTTCTATATGTGACTCCGTTTGAAGCACAAACAGGCCTCGTTTCCTCTAATTGAGGACATAAAGAAATGCATTGCTGGATATTGGCAGGGACATCAGTAGTCTGTAGAAGACCATCTCCTCTGTCGAAACTTGTCGATGATTCAGTAGGGACGTTTGCTGCCGAGCACGTACTTTTCCGTTGTATTTCAACAACTGAAAATTAAAGCAACAGGAATGTTCGATTATTTAAATTTATGTCCACTTGTGAAATTGACAAATTTGAATGCATAAAACACTGAATTGTCTTCTGATCACGAAAGAAGTACATTGTAAATGTGATTCAGACGCTGCCCGAACGGTTCTATCTTATAATTACAGTAAATGAGCAAATGAACAAGATCACCGTTGACTTTCTATTACCAGGACCCGTAGACTTCACAACGTGAACGCCACCACTCAAATTGCGTCTATTTATGTCTCAATTATACAGTAATGACGCGTATTATAATTTTTGCGGGTATTATTTTTATTACTCGATGCTATGCCTTTGTCGTGGATGTCATTCGCGAACATTTGTTATGTAAATATTTATAATATTACGATACGGGTACAGCGGGCGTCTTATCCATTAGGCAATGATGACGTTAGGTATTCGCTTGCGCTTTTAATTTACACTTTAATCCTCGGTTGAACTTACGGCTGTAGACAACAAAGGCGGCCGTCTTTTGACATTAAATGTTCTCAGTCACAGCACCTCGACCACCAACCTCGAGGGGTTATTCTAGATTCACCGAATTAGTAGGTGAGCTCACGGGGCTCAAACCTGACGACGTTGCCAACACTAGCCCTAGCAAGAGCAGTGCTTCGCAGAATCTACCACCAGATCGGAAACGCGACTCAGTGAGAAGATCCGGCGAGAAACTCAGTGGCCTGTGTCTGTGGGTTAATTTACTCGCAAGCGACGGGTTCGACGAGAACGATGACCGGCAAAAACCATATTGAACATGAAATTTTCTATATTTCTTTGTCCGTGTATTTTGCACTCTCTGACTCTATACGTGAGATTTGTTTTTCCATATCCAGATACATAGGTAATGAAATAAGCGAGTTCAATAAAGTATCCGAAGCAATAAGGCGTTGACGTTTCAAACCATCGTTCTACGATGCCTATAAATAGATTAACGACCATCAGACATCTAAAGTTAGGTAGTTCAGTAAAATACGGATATTACCGAATTATCTAAATTTTTTGAAACTTAATTTTAAATCGATGAATTTTCCATCGCTTTAGTTCGTTAGGTTTTCTTAAATGGACTATGAAAGCGACAGAGTTTTTAAATTATATTCAAATGTGTCATATAACGTCCTTATATGACACATTTGAATTTTCCTGGTTACTGGTATTTTACTGGTGGTAGGAGGACCTCTTGTACGTACGCACGGGTAGGTACCACCGCCCTGCCTATTTTTGCCGTGAAGCAGTAATGCGTTTCAGCTTGAAGGGTGGGGCAACCGTTGTAACTATACTGAGCCCTTAGAACTTATATCTCAAGGTGGGTGGCGCATTTGCGTTGTAGATGTCTATGGGCTCCAGCCATCACTTAACACCCGGTGGGCTGTGAGCTCGTCCACCCATATAAGTAATTTAAAAAAATCCTAGTTGGATCATGAGTTGTATTATTTAATTTAAACCGACCACAAATTTGTGAAAATTGTGCGTTTCAGAGCTGACGGGCGACTAGAAATTACTCTTTAAGTATAATACTATTCTGCCATTGAGTAAACAAAAGGCAAACGCAACTCTTATCTATATATTAATACGTGAAGCAAAAACTTTGTATCCCTTTTTACGAAAATTGCGCGGACGGAGGAGTATGAAATTTTCCACACTTATAGAGAATATAGAGAAGAAGTGCACAATGCTAATATTTTTTTAAAATAATGCATAAAAGATACATTAAATCGATAAAGAAAACATTACACACACTACATACCATGTATTTGACGCACACACGCATGCATACTATTTATTGTCAAACTTTTGTTCTTGACGTCTGTGGTCAAATTGAGAATAGATCATATATTGTTTGTCTTTGTTAATATTTTTTATAGTGTAGTCTTGGCGAAATTCGTGATTATAGAAGTATAAAATACAATCATAATAGTGTACAAACTTACAATTCCAATTAATTATAGTCGAATTTCGACTACTGCGGGACCTCTAGTAAGTGATTATTACATAAGTACTTGAGGTTAATGTATAGCAGAAAACATACCAACTCCGCATTGCTGAGCACACATTAATCTTCCTAAATTGTTGTAGGTCTCATTATTGGTACCACAAACAGGATTATATTCTGATGTAACAGGACAACTACGGATGCAGGCTTCGATGTCCGGAGACCCGGCGGTTGCAGTCGTTTGTCTGTTAAATCTATTTCCATTGAATTCCGGTCTGAGGTTCAAGTCATATCTAGAAATAATTGTCATCGATCAATGTTTTTACCCTAAAATAAATTACTACGAATATTGCGTAAATCGGTAATAGTAAAAAATGTACAAACATCAAAATTAATGGGAGGCCTCAATAGGAGGCTAAGTAAGGCTTGCAGAGAAATAAATATTAGTTTCAAAAACTGAGGTTAGTTATAAAAATATTAGGATATTTAGCTAGGTTTTTGTAATACTAAAAAAATCAAAATTTGTATATGCAATTAACAAATTAATAATTACATTTAATACCTATCTATATTATTATAACTTATTTACATATTCTTATTCAAATAATAAAATGTCTAACAAACGTACGCATGAAAATTGGGCCGATACCGATGTTCATGCTGGCCAGATGGATAGTGAAAATTGTGTCCCCAAGGTTGCCAGTTCCTGTGATTTCCTCCCCCATAATGTGTAGCACCATAGTCTGATTCTTCGCTGCTTGCAGACTCGCTCGAACCCCAATCGTGGGAATCTTTCCTCCTTGTTGACCATTGTCGCGATCCGTGGTGAAACCAATCGCCGTGATCTTGGTTTTTCCTGTTGTGCCATTCATAGCAGTCCGTGACTTGAATGAACAGTATGGCGAATGTTGCTGTGAATTCGATCGGAGAATATCAGTACTACTATAACTGAATTAACAAAGTATGTGGAAATTACTTTTTGTGGGTTCGTCTTGTAGGCGTACGCGGTGTTATCAAGCGTTTTTATTAAAAACTAGCTGACCCGGCAGACTTCATAGTGCCTCAATCGATAAATAAAAGACCTAAGCTTTTGTTTACAATAAACTTAAAACAAACAAAAAGAATCCGTCCGACGGGGGACACATAAAAAAAAACAAAATTATTAATTTTTTTTAATTCCGAGCTTTTTCATATTTATCTACCTTCTAAACCTTCTCTGGACTTCCACAAATAATTTAAGACCAAAATTAGCCAAATCGGTCCAGCCGTTCTCGAGTTTTAGCGAGACTAACGAACAGCAATTCATTTTTATATATGTACAGTTGTTGATGGAACTTAAGTGAAAGTCGCACCATCAACAAACAATAAGTTTGCGAGCTGTTTCTACTGATAAATATACTTTTTATATTTGATGAAAAATACAGCGAAGCAGTGTTTTTAACTAATTAATGATAGTATCGAAATTATAATAAATTACATGGATTCATACAGTTTTTATTGCTATTAACTCTTTTCTGATCAGGAGATCAAATGGAAATAAAGGATTTTAGAAATTCAATATTATCACATATTGATACTAAAAAAATTTATACTAAAATAATTCTGATGACAGTTAAAGAAAGTTTATAACTTTGTGAGGATTTTTGTAGGTAATCGAAAATAGTTTAATACAAAAATGCACGTGCAATTTAAATCATTTTCATTAAATACCCCAATGATGCTAACATAAATATAAATGAAATATAAGTCGATAAGATAGATAGTTTAAAATAACACAAAATGAAAGAAAAGTTTCCTTACACGAAACACAAACCACGTTTTGCTTTCGTGTAACGAAATACAAACTTGAACAAGTTTAATCATTTAATTTCCAGTTATTAAAAACAATTTTCTGCAAAACAAAGCCCTTGTTTGGACAATTAGTTTACGAACGCACAAAAGGTTATATTTCTATGTAATCATTTACTACATTTTTAAAGGTGAAATTAAAAATAATAACTTAAATAATACCTACTTTGTTTTAGAAAATATTTCTACAAATAAATTACAAACTTACCTTTAAAAAAGACGTGTTGTCTCATTTTAAAAGCGATTAGCTTAGGAAATAAATATGAATGTTAAAAAACTTTGAGTTATAAAATTTAACACACTCGAGGGCCGGTTCTGTTACTAAATGAGCAGTATCTTTCTGCACGTATATTGATATCGTCGTTTATAAGAACCCCACCTCTCTTGATGCTTGGTGTCCAACACGTTTATGAATCACCGAATTAAATAATTTTAAATTACACAGAGATATCGAAGCCTGCTTCGTATCATAAATGTTTTTTAAGCTTATACGAGTACCTGGCCTAAGTCCATAACGCACCTAAGTCTATAACGTCTTTAACCTTCAATACGACTAAAATAATGACGAATTAAAGTTATTGCGAGACAACTTTAAGACTTGTTTCATAGGACAACTCGTTTGACTTGAGGAAAACTTGACGTAAAAACTATGATTAAGAATCCAAGAGCTACCTAACCTGTATCTCTAAGATTTTTAACCAAAATTAAAACTGAACAATTTATTCGTCTATTTAGAATATCATTTATCTAGTATTAGCCGGTTTATACCGACGTTTTGTATTATTCGTCAAACAAATTGTTTTGTTTCTTTCTGATATTTGATGTGGTGATTTTTCAATAAAAACTAGGTACCTAATTCCCAATTGATAAAGAATAGCAACACACAGCTACAATTATTGTAAAAAATCTGTTATTGCTCGATGAATTTCAAAGGCAATTGACCTTTACAGAATTCGTACTGCATGTACTGTCTTTCCTTATGTTTATAGTCGTATACCATTTACCTTTCCTCCAATGTAAGACATTGTACAGAAATAAAATACAGTTCGATTATAGCTCCAATGGACATTTTTTCGATACAATAACATTAAATAATGTGAAAAATTTCACTGCCGTAGTTGGTCAGACGACCTATTGACCCCCATTAAAATACAAAAGCGTAGATCCCAATAAATCAGGTTGTATTACCCCAAGGCACTCATGCATAATGACGTAAGCTAAATTCCCACAAATTCCTTAACCTTCACACTAGATGCACAACTGTGATAAAATTGACTTTGGCACGCAAGTTGACTTTGGCAATTGCTGACAGCATAGGGTGTTGTTAGCTCGAGCTACAGATAACCCTGATATCTGTGGCTCGAACAAATCTATGCCATCGCAATGGTGAAGCGACCAAGCAGTCTAGCTTAAAAAATAAAGTGGCTTTCCGGATGGAAATGAAATCCAGAGATCATTTCCCTACACGATGAGGTAAAAGTAAATTTGCTGGCGGGTATGTATGCGTGTACAGGCTACAAAACATCGACAATATTTACCTAGATTTAATAAATGTAATATTGTTAGTTTTGTCTGGCAAGGCTCGATAGCAGCCTTTATTGTTATTTTTGCCAGTTTCCAAACCTCTTTCGAAGTGTCCACGCCTAAAAGGGCACAGGATATTTGGAGCTTAATGGTCTGCAGTTCTCGGAAACAGTCTGCGGACCCAAGGATGTTTTTAGGGCCCACCAAACGACTCATCTTGCACTCTCTCATCGGCGTCCGATCTTAGCCCCTGATCAGAATCTGGACAGAATAGGGGGAGTTCTCGCGGTCTAATATACAAACAGCCTCGCGGCGCCACCCTAGCACGCCCGATTGACAGGTCGTCGACGCGATCGTCAACCAACAATGAAGCATGTCTCTGCGGTACGGCAGCCAGTCAATCCGCCCAGCTGGTGTCGCTGGTATTCTGGAATACCCCGCTGAGTCAGAACCAGCCCGCTGGGTCGGAACGCATGCATCGCCGACCGGGTTTTTCTTGCACATTACGTTCGAGAGACGATAAAAACGACCGCGTTCGCGGACCGTGACCGCTGTCACGTCGTATCTGTCTGTCCTCCTCGTGCTAGTGTGCTAGGGTGACGGTAGAGTGCTATGCAGCCTCCTTTAACCCCTTAGTCACCCCATGATCTTCATCGGACGGGGACTGCCTTCTTACGACTCGGTATCGTCCCTCAGCTTTCTTCATCGTTCTTTTTTCCATTTTTTTCCTCACTAACTAACACTGCCTAATCTAAAACTAAACTAAAATAACTGTTAAGTGGGGGCTTTGTGTCATGCCGTCGTTGCACTGACTAGAAATAATGCAGGAGGGGCATGACACACAACCGTGACTAATCTAACCTAGCTACTTGCTACCTACTACTATCCGTACATCTAAAGCTAAGAGTTGAGGGGGGCTGCCATAGGGCCTACCCACTCCTTACAAGGAGGGGGCCCGATATGGGGAGCCCGAGCGGAGGAATTGAGAGCACCCCCAAAAGGGGGAGTGGGCCCCCATGAAGGTTCCCCACATTGGGTCTGGGGGGATAAGATATACGGAAGCAACACCCGAACGAAGTTGAAAAGCCGCGGCATACTATACACAATTAGATTAGCACTAGAGCTTAATTGCGGAGCATGACAAGGTTTTATTAGCACAATTGCAACATACGGACGTATTTACGCTATTTAACTAAAGTATATAAATAAATAAATAAATAAATATGTTAATAACAGTCACGCCACGTTAACTGGTCCCGTGCTAAGTTCGTAAAGAACTTGTGTTACAGGTACCAGATAACGGAAATAAATGTAAGATTTTTATTATACACATACATATATTTAATATACATCCATAACCCTGGAAAAGACATTTATATTATATCATACAAATATCTTTCCTTGGCGGGATTCGAACCCGCAACCCCCTTGTGTAGTGACCATGTCACTTACCATTACACCAGACGGCCGTTTATGTATATAGTATGAAAATAAAAGTATTTCCTACCATATTATTAAAAATTCAAGTGACTAATATCATTAAAATCAACCGGATAAGTCATTTAATTTTATCTTTGAATCACTCCAGGATATAATATGACATGGTTCAGTGTCTTCGAGTTAATCATTTACTTATTCACAAAGAACTTTAATTACCGCTTTAGTAGCTATTTTATAAAAAAAAAATTTAGTGCTTGCAGAATAATCCATAACATATCATCGAAAATTTTTAAAACTGTTTTATGAAAGGACTTTTTATGATGGCCAAACGTATATAAATACTAAGTCAGGATATTTTGATGATAGTACAATATAGTAATTAAACATGATTATTTATACATAATTTGATTTCCTAGACGTTAGATAAGAAGCCTATTATTTTGACTTCACGCTTCTTTCTTCATAAATAACGAACTTATCATAAACAGCTTTCAACCGCTAAAGCACCTACTCAGGACTCAAATTTAGTGAAAAACACCGACGGTCGTCTACGTTTATTTCTAACCAGAAGCAGGTACATACATACATACAATATCGAACTTCTTCCTTCACAAATGACGGGTTTCCATACGCAACTATTCATCCCTTATTTTATTTAGGGGTGGAATTTCCAAAAATCTTACGTAACAAACACAACCAAAAATTTTCATCTAATGCTTAAATTTCTAATTTATTACCACAGTGGCTTAGGCTGGGCGTTGATGAATGTCAGTCAGTCGGGTCAAATAATCTAATATACTATATACTAATCTTCTATACATATATAAGATTATATTATTTGTAAGTATTTTGTTAGACTAAGAGCTTCGCCTATTAACCTTATCAGTACTAAATCAATGGGAATATAGAACATTGTTTCAAAATGGAGATTTTCATAAAATTCCCTTTTCGTGGCAATTTAATATTATACGTTAATCACAGTATTCGAATGAAACAAAATATTTAATCACTCATATTTTTAATTATTTGGTCTACTATTTTAATTAATTTAGCTGGTAGGAGCTTGTGTAGCAGTGGGGCAAGGCAGGGATCGGAGAACGCTGACATCTGAAAAAAAATATAACAAATTAAAGTTTATCGCTTATGAGCGTGGACACATATGATTGCAATTAGATCTAATGGAATTGAATTGAAATTGAATAGAATTGCTATTAGATCACGGCCGATGCAACTCCGCCAAAAAGTGACTTACGATGCTTACCAGCTTAACATTGAATTATAAATAAGTTGCAGGCCCGGATAAGTACAATTTTTGTTGAATAATGAATCTTCATTTGTCGTGTGCGTAGTTCGGGTTGTTTAGATTTTTTTATTTATTTAATTTATTACATTACATTTAAATGTCTTGCGATATTTGTGGTTCGCAAATTTTAGAATATGAAAACTGTATAACAGCTTTTATGTATTCGTTCGTTCATTTTATTAAGAGCTTTTATGTATGATTTCAGTAATTTACATATTTTTCAAACTTTTGAAAAGATCCGCATATCTGCTCGAAGAGATTTCTTTAAGAAACAGGCCTACTATATAGCCTATTATTTGATTTATCATTATTATGTATACCTACTTTTTTTTAATAATCTTTGTCTACATCAAAAAAAAATTAAGTAAATCACAAAATTCGCCCGAACTTGAGTGATGAATATTCAATTGTTTTTATGAAACATTTCATTGAAAATTGCCTTCATAAAATATGTAGTACGTAGCAGTGTTGTTTTTATGAAGGTTACATTATTTTAAAACTTAACAACACATCATTATTTCACTGTCATTCTTGTTGAGCAGCAAACACCTTCAAGATTTGAATGACTAATTATTCAATACTTCAATTATATCTTAGAGTCGGGTGTAAATTAATATTAATTTAAGACAAGTGTTTCGCTTGTACTATATATTACATTAACCTTAATAGCAACACAGCATTTGTAATATTAATAATGCATATATTAATACGAAATTAGAAGAATGCTTTTGTCCGCTAACGTTGTATGTATAACAATAGTAAAAGCCGAAACCACCAAATATCTAGTCCAAAAAAAACTCAGACGTATACACAGACATATAATCAGACTATAGCTGTACCCGTCCGCTTCGCTGGGCATTTAAAATTAACATTATTATTTCTTACCCCCGCAAAGATTCTCATCATTAACGCCCCGGCAACTGGTGAAGGGAGTCCAACGCTCATATAAATATTAGCCTATCCATTAAGTATATGTATTTTCTACATGGATACCAAGTTTCAAGTTAATCGGATGCATGGTTCAGTAGTTATAACGGAACATCCGTAAAAACCACTGTAGATTTATATATTAGTATCGATATATACATGTTTCTGTGACTAAGAACAAAATATATAATTGCAATTGAACACTATTACGTCACATTCAAGTTGTTGTCATTGCTGAACTTTTGAATAAAAATTTGACTGGTTTTTAAACGTGTTAATATTATTGAACGCAAAGATTGTTCATGTTAGCCGTGAACTTTATTTTGATGTGCTTGTTCAATACAGTTTCATTCATTTCGATTACTCATATTCTCATAAACACGTACACTTAGTGGAGTGCACTTTTATGCATGAAATATTAAAGTATCAATGCGATAATTGGACTAGTCATAATTTTCTTTCACGAACCGGAAAACAAATTCTATTAATATTTGACACATAACTGAAAGTATTTGTTTTTCTGTACTTACTGATTCCACACGCCTGAGCACACGTCAACCTTCCAGGGTTATTGTAAGTGATATTATCAGTGCCACAAACTGGATTGTACTCAGCGGTTACTGGGCAGCTACGAATGCATTGTTGAATTGCAGGCGACATTGTGGTGGTGCCCCTGTAAGACGATACATATAAAATTATGCTTAAAATTATGCGCAATTTTTTTTTATTGCTTAGATAGGTGAACGAGCTCACAGCCCACCTGGTTGGTATTAAGCGGTTACTGAAGCCCATAGACATCTACAACGTAAATGCCTTGAGATATAAGTTCTAAGGTCTCAAGTATAGTTACAACGGCTACCCCGCCCTTCAAACCGAAACGGATTACTGCTTCACGACAGAAATAGGCGGGTGGTGGTACCTACCCGTGCGGACTCACAATACGTCCTACCACCAGTAAGCAATTTTAAACGAACGAACTCATGATCCACCTTGTATCAAGGCTACCGGACTTTAAGGACATCAACAAAGCAAATGCCTCTATTCAGCTTAAGACATGTGTTCTAAGTTCTATATCAGAACGTCAGCCCCGCTCTTTAGGCATAACTGTTTGGCGGCAGAAAATACGCGATTGCTCATTTAGAATAATCAAACACAAATACTGAACAAATCGGTATGTCTATGTCTTCATTTGTTTTTGGCCCAAGACAAAGTTACCCCAACGCCATTTAAAATTGAAGATTTCGTAGCTCATTATCTACTTGTCACGACACTTTTTGACTTTTATTTGTACGAACTAGTCGGTGTCAGATTACATGTGTTCTAAATTCACTTACAGATTGTTGGGAGCCCGAGTCGTAGTTAAACGTTGCTGTTGTCCTGGGAACTGACCCTGGCCGGGGAATAGACCGGGGAAAAATCCTTGCCCAGGGAACTGCCTTGGAGGCCGGGTGGTAAGCTCCCAGCCATAGCGGTCATCGAGAACGTCATCATCATCATTCGACTGACGCTTGTTTCTTACGCTCATACATAACACGTTAGTTATGATTGCTGTTGGCAAGACGGTAAAAGAAAAACATATAAAAATCAAACCACATTTCTGGGCAGTTTATGAAATTTAAATTAAATAATAATGTGACAGAACTGATGATCGTATTTATTATTTTTCTTCGTTACGCTTCTGTAATTTTACTTTCAGTATTGGTAATATCGGAAATCAAAAGTAATCTTAGTAAATTAATAAACTGGGTATACAATAAGTTTGTTCATTTCAAGTTTCTATGATATTCGCAAGTCTTAGACATAATTATAACAACAGTTTTACAGTTTGATCTCGCCTATATTATTTTCATTTTATTATTCCCGGAGTTTCAAACACATTAGGATTTTCATGGTCAAGAATTAAACCTTAAAAGTAGTTTCAATCAATTATAAAAACACATTTTATATTCCATAAAAAAAAAATCGTTTTTAAATAAAGAGATTAGCGAACTATTTGCCAAAATTAAAAAAATGCTATAAAATTATTCCTAAACTTTGGAAACTCAATTTATTTTTTGTCATATTGTTTTAGAAGACAAAACGATGGGGTCATGTTGGGATTGTTGTTTGGGTAGGTCGTCATCTTTGAAAATTTGAGTTTTAATAATTAGGTACTAGTGGTTCCGCAGTAGTCGAAATTCGACTATAATTAATTGAAATTATAAGCTTGAACATTATTATGGTTATACTGTCAAAGACTATTATACTTCTATAATCACAGATTTTGCCAAGACTACACTATAGATAAATAATATTAAAGATAAACAATATTAACCTATTTTCAATTTGACCATATTTTTTGACAAACTAAAGTTTGACAATAAACAAAGAGTATATGTACCTACATATGTGTGTGTGTCAAATACACGGTAGTGTGAGTAATGTTTTCTTTATTGATTTAAGGTATGTTTTATGCATTATTTAAAAAAAAAAGAGCATTGTGCACTCCTTCTCTATATTCTCTATAAGTATGAGAAATTTCATACTTCTCCGTCCGCGCAATTTTCGTAAAAAGGGATACAAAGTTTTTGCTTCACGTATTAATATGTAGATATTAAAAGTGGCCCTCTTGCAAAATCTACATTTACTAAATATGCACGCGCTACAACAATTTATTTAAATACAACTCTGTTTATTTAAAAAAAAACCTAATATTAATATTAAACATTTCGAAAACGGAACGTGTTTTTAAATGAGGATAATGTTTATTGAAATAATATTTTTTAATTCATAAAAATCCAGTTATCGCGGCATTGGGAATTCCGTGTTTAATTTTCAAAACATATCGATGTTGAACACACAACTAAGCTTTGCACAAAACATTTGCAGGTCCTATATTTGTTTATCAAGTAAATAATAAATTTAAGTCAACAGTTTGTATTATGGTAACTGAAGGTTTAAGTGATACACGTTACATTATTATTTGCGATAGGTAATACGCACGCTCTTTCTTTATTACTCGAGATGAACAGACGAGCTCATTGGCCATCTGGTTTTAAGTGACCACCGGAGGCCATGCATGTGACAAACCGAATTTCGAACATTAAGACATGAAGACATATAACTATACTGAGACCTTGGAACTTATATCTCAAGGTGGGTGGCGCATTTACGTCGTGAATGTCTATAGGCTCCAGTAACCACTTAACACCAGGTGGGCTAAGAGCTCGTTCACCCAACTAAGAAAAAAAAAAAAAAAAAACTTATATACTATTTGATAAAATATATCTTATTTGTTTGTTTCTCGTTGAAGGAAAACCATATGAGTGCTTTGTAGTGGAAATAAGAAGGATCGATGTATGTACATCATATATTTACCTACACGTAATATATGCGGGCTCGTATAGCTCAAGATATCTATTAGTAGATATGACAAGTTGACAGGATGTGAAAATTTAATTAAAATAAAGATAGTGCGTACTTTTATTTTTACGAGTCTAATTCGAGGCGTAATTAAAATACAATTTATTTTTTTATAGTACGAAATATTCGACACAATAGATTAAGAAAGTAGTAAAATGAAACCAAACCTATAAAACAACAATAAAATTAAAACGGCCTTTAAATGTTTACGGCCTTTAATTGACAACGAATAAAGAGCATAATAAAACATTATAATTAAAATTAGATTGAATACTGATCTGTTTTCATTGGAGACTTTGGGAAATTGTGTTATGGGAGACAGCAATCCACCTATGCGCTTTTTTATTTTTATTGCTTAGCTGGTTGGACGAGCTCACAGCCCACCTGGTGTCGAGTGGTTACTGAAGCCTATAGACATCTACGACATAAATGCAACCACCCACTTTGAGATATGAGTTCTAAGGTCTCAGTATAATTACAACGACTGCCCCACCCTTCAAACCGAAACGCATTACTGCTTTGCGGCAGAAAATAGGCAGGGTGGTGGTACCTACCCGTGCGGACTCACAAGAGGTCCTACCACCAATAATAAAGATTACGTAGAAAGCTTACATTTGTAACGACGTAACCACCTGGCACCTACCAGCAGCCGCTTGGTTCGATCGGCTATATTTTTTTATGATTGATGGATTACCCGGAGGCCTTTCCTTATTCACCAGGACAGGTGGGTGAGCAAAGGCTCAGTTAGGAGGGGTAGGATTAGCTAACAACCGCTCGAGAGCCTCCGAAGGAAAGCTAACAAGTCAAGAGCAGCGGCTTCGCGTATGAATCTACTACCGAATCGGAATGGCGACCCGCTGAGAAGATCCGGCGAGAAACTCAGGGAGCCGATGCATGGGTTAGGTTGCACTGCACGTCTATCTCTTTGCCGAGTTCGAGGAATACGGGCACCGGGGTCCCTAAGTCTGCTCCTAACGCTAGAGCTGAAGGCGTCTAATGCAAAAGTTATTGTGTCAGATAGATCCGTAAGGACGTGACAAGAGTGAACATATTAAGCGATGATTTAAAGTCATAGTGGCCTAAAAAATACGACGCCCGGTGCACGCAGGTATCAATTTTTCTAATGAAATACGCCCTTAACATAATGTTTACGCGTGACTTCCACGGTGAAGGACATCGTATAATAAAAATCAAGCCTGCAAAAATTATAATTTGCGTAAATACTGGTGATAGGACGTCTTGTGATTCTTGTGAACCCGAACGTGTGGGTACCACCACCCTGCCTATTTCTGCCGTGAAGCAGTAATGCGTTTCAGTTTGAAGGGTGGCGCAGCTGTTATACTGTAAAAACTGAGACTTAGAACTCATGTCTCAAGATAGGTGGCGGCATTGACGTGGTTGATGTCTATGGGTTCCAGTGACCTCGTGGGCCGTGAGCTGATCCGTAGCAATAAAAAATATAAAAAACATATCATGGAAAAAAACAATTTACTAATTTATTTAAAAAAAAACTCAGACAACGTGATCAAATAAGCGATTACAATATGATACATCAATTCAATATAATTAATTAACCCGTTAAACGCGTTTTTCGTAATCTTCAAGACATAATAAAACATTTTTTATTTTATTTACTTGTCTTTTACCATAACGCTTCGTAAGGATAACAAAAACGAACGATTAATTGAAATCGATATAAATTGTAATATAATGTTTATTAGTTGATATGGATTCATATACTTTTTGCTAGCTTAAACGCGAAGGAGAACTCATTAACCACCACAAAGTGGTAACCACCTTTGTCGTATGTCGAAAGCTTAATTCCATAGGATACCATCTATTTTCTGATTCAAACTATCTACCTAATTTACCTACCTAATAAAAAAATTGTGGATCTCAAAATTAACTTTTCCTACTAACTACTGATATTAGAAAATGTCTTAGTTTTTCTTTTAATTTGTCTAATAGTGTAAAATTTACGTATATACACCAAGAAAGTCCTAAAGGAGATGACAAACTTCCAACGACGACTTCAAAATATCTTATAGTTATTTACGAATGCATCAATTTTATCATAAATGTGTATATGTTTGCAATTTCGTTCCTATACTGCAAATAAAACTTTCAGTGTACCCTACCCTGGCGTTTATAGAATAAAGTCGGACAATCCTTAAATTTCAAAGTAACACAATTAGCCATTTAATAATATTGCTTCTTAAATTATCAATCATACCAATCGTAAGCAAACAAAACTATGCTTTAAAAATAAAAATAATAATGCGTTGAGAACGACCCGCCAAATGTCATTAAAACTTGTTCTTACTATTCACAAAAACTTTATAGCCATCAATGCAATTATCCACTTAGAAGCTATAAATGAAAAAAACACTTAACAAAAAATCTAAGAATACAATCATAATAATACAGAAGAAGAACTCACCGAAAAGGAAAAATACTACTAATTTATCCATTATATCTTGAAAATGCAGAATTGAAATCACTTTTGCTTCAATTTACGTACACGTAAGCTGCGTGCGAGTCGTTTGGTTACTGCCAACTATCCTACAGCTGGGTAAGTTTATATATAAGCAACGCGACGGACGCAAAGGTGAGTGTTCCCCGTGATAGGGTTGATGTTAATTAATTATCGTGAATTATTCAACTTGTTTTTTCATGTCTTTTATTGCGAAAGTCAAATAATGGTACTTAATGATTGCTAATAGTAAAAATACGTGTCGTTCTAAAAATTAAATAGCTTACGTAACGAAAAACAAAATAATTCGACAATATTTTTTTTCACTCAAATATTATTTTCGATTTGAATAAATACGCAAACAACAAAGCAGGCATGACTAAAATATGCATTGGTTCTGAATTTATATAAAAAAATATATTTCCTTTACATTGATTATTTTATCGAAACTTTATCGTTTTAATTTTCGTGTATGCACGCGTACACTCGTACCTTTTAAAACTACTTATCGCAAGTAACAGCTTTCCAAATATGTATTCAGTCTTAAATCATAGGATCGATTTACGACAGATATAGATTAGCTCTTCGTTGTTTGAAAAAGCTCTCTAAGCTATGATATTTGATCTTAATATAAATTTAATATATTATTAAAGACATGATTATTCATTTACAGTTGGTAGCCCTGTAGTTGCACATAAGTCTAGTAAAACAAGTTACAAAGAACTAGTTTTGAACATCTTAATGTTTGTCGTTTCAAATTATATATTCGTAAAGATAATTCGAGGATTTTATATATTTCATTATGAAGATGATTTCTGAACGATAACTACGTATCAGATCTGTCACTAGTTATACTCGAGATGCATCCAGAAAGTCACCTATATATTGGATTTTCCTGTATAGACTCTCGTGCATAGAAGTTCGTTGAAAATGGCTTGCTTATTATCATGTTTTTTGTGCTAGCCTGCGTGTTTGAATCGAATTTTATAACTGATTTTAATTCTAACTTAAAATTATTAAATAGCTCAGAATCGGATGACAATTCAAGTTGCGGAGACAGAAAGATTTTGTATACCTCTTAGTTAGTTTTACGAGTTACCATACCTATACATTTCTACTATACAACCTAAAGCAAATACCGGTGGATTACATTTAAAGCCATTGACCTTGCGCTTTAACTGATTTAAATTATATTACATTGCGTGCTCTGCGTAAATAAAGTGTATTCTTTCTCGAGAACGGTTTCCTAAGATCCTTACATATCATATATTAGCTTAACGAATGATCAACTAATGATTAGGTGTGCATCGTATTTATAGTGATAAGCCATCAAACAGTTTTAATAAGTTTGAGAGGTTTAGCGACAAAGGGAAGATCTTCCATCGAGCGGGTGAAATTGCTCAGTATACCGACGGTCCAAATGTTTGCAACTTGTATGCAACCATAACTTGAAAATGTCGTAATCGAGATTCGCGCATCTGTCAAATATCGTGTGTTGTATGATAGCTACCGCCACAGTAACATTTTAAATTATATAGGCACATCTTTATATCGTCTTTAAATCTGACGAAGGCATTTCATTCAAAAGACATTGAAGTGTTCTTCGTTGTGGGCCAAGCGTATTTTTTATTCAAGTAGTCCTTCATAAACATTTTCGGTCATAACTTTCCCAACGACTCAGAATGAAGTTTTAACTGTAGAAGACAGTTTGTTCTTTTCCAATACGTGTAGTATGTTGTTTTTAATAAATGCAATTCTTTTTTTTTATATTTATTTATTTCGTATATTTCTCAATTACTATTTATTTACCCAATAAAGCAAAGTAATAAGTTATTTCGTTCATTTTACAACTGCTCGCTATTCCGAGATATTCTTCTTCTTCGTCGCTTTCTTCATTGCTGAAGGTCGTGTCCCTGAAACTTGACCGTTGCCTGTCTCGTGAGCTGTTTCCATCTCGTCCGGTCCTCAGCTGCTCGAATGGCGGTTGCGACTGGCAACTCAGTTAGAGCGGTTACTTGATCACACCAACGGCTAGGTAATCGGCCGCGGGGTCTCTTTCCTTCTACTTTGCCCGTCACAAACACTTTGTCCAAGTTATCTGACTGTCGGCGGGCAATATGACCGAAGTGCGGACAGAATGTTACTGGTGACAGAACAGCGGATCATCGAGCACAATTTCGCAAGAAGATGAAAATTGGAACCTGGAATGTCCGAGGCATGCTCTAACCCGGAAAACCGAGATATTAAGTTGGTAAAATCAATACTTCCATCCGGCGTTTTTCTGAGTCATACGTTCCGATTTGAATGGTATTAAGACTATTTTTTACCTTATGTTTCAAGGTGCATAGAAACATTCATGTTTAGGAATTCCTGTAACGTCTGATGGACCACATCATCAATTGCCTTATAAGGTGATATTTAGAAAAAAACAAACAGCCCTTGTGAATACGTTTTACGTCACTTTTGAAACTAGTCAGTGTTTCTTGTGATTTGTAATTGGTAATTCAACGACGCACAGTTAGAGAAAATGGAAACGGGATTTTCCCATTGACTTTATATAGACAGATACGCTATTACTGTAAGACTACATTATTTCAACGGCACAATGTACGAACGTTTTACTTATTGTTAAACTCGATAAGATAAAAGCTAGATAATTTCGTGGGCACCCGTGAACGCGACTACCACTTGAGTGTTCCCTGGAAACTTACGACGTCTTATTAAACGTAACTAGTTTTCTGTCGAATTCGTCTTTCAGTTCAAAGTTGTCTAATATATTGAAATTGTTCCTTTGCAGTAATACATTTTTTTTTCCTACCTATGCTGATAGCCTTGAGAGGCTATTTCAGCTTCACCCTAACGTTTGTAGGTGAGCTCGCGGGGCTCAACCGGAGAGTTGCTAACACTGGCCCTAGCAAGAGCAGTGCTTCGCAGAATCTACCACCGGATCGGAAACGCGACCCACTGAGAAGATCCGGCGAGAAACTTAGTGGGCTGTGTCTATGGGTTAGTTCGCTCGTCGAGCCCTTCGTCGCAAGCGACGGGTTCGACGAGGACGGTGACCGGTGCTTGTGGTGCCTAAAAGCACCGTTAATGGATCAGGAGGATCCGTAATGACGTGCTTTGGGCGACGTCGACGGTTTACCATTCGGTCTACTGGGTCGGGTATGTAATTTCCAGCGGCTACGATGAGAGGGTTCTCATGTCGTGCCGCCTTCTCAAAATGGCGCAGCGATGCCGACTGTAGATACTTACTAAATGAGTCGAGCTCCAGGTCATCGTGGAGATCCACATTCCTAAGGAACCATGGCGCTCCGACGGCTATCCTGCAGAATCGTGATTGAATAACCTGAAGGGATTTCAAGTGGGTGCGGGCTACGTGAGCGAACACTACGCTTGCATACGTCATGACGGGGCGTACACAAGTTTTGTAGAGAGTTACCTTATTGCGGAGGGACAGTTTGCTTTCTACAACAAAGCATTGGATAGAGTCGTCCTAGTATAAACGCGGCGCGGTCGCGTACCGTTTTTATATGGGGACGTATTGTCATCCCTCTGTCGAGGGTGACGCCTAGATATTTGACCTTCAAGGTTCACGGTATGGGCTGGCCAAAGAGAGTGATGGGGCTAACGGCGGAGGTGTTTGCGCGCCTACTACGGAGTGGGATGCTCGAAGTGATGTTCGGAGGGCGACCCCTTTTGCAGAGCACGCTGTGCTTTTCGTGGGGTTGATGTCGATTCGCCACTTCCGGAACCACTGTCCCATGGTGGCTACGCAGTAATACAGCAAATACAGCGAGTTTAAAAAAAAAAAGAGGGAGAGCAGGACATTATAAAAGACTTCAACGACCTGTTTTCTGTAAAGAAATATACAAACTTGTATAGATATACAGAAGAAAACGGGGGAATGGGCAATGCAAATTAGAATTTATTTTCAAATGAAGAAACAGCAATACGATTTAAAAAAAAAAAAAAAAACATTTGTACGTTCACATGCAGTAGAAGTAAGACCTTCAGAAGTACTTCTAGCTCATTTTTCCGCAGCTAAAACTTTAGTAAAACGTAAGTTTACCGTTTTCAGTGGGTCGCGTTTCCGATCCGTTGGTAGATTCAAAGCACTGCTCTTGCTAGGGCCAGTGCTAACAACACTCCGGTTTGAGCCCCGTGAGTTCACCTACACGTCAAGGAGAAGCTGAAATAGCCTCTCAAGGCTATCAGCTAAGATATCAGATAAGGCTAGGAAAAAAAGGAGAAAAAAAAACGTGTTTCTAATGAGAAAGTAGTTTTCACTTTGAAAACCTAATCGATCAATTTTTGGACACCCATTTTTTTCGTTTATTTTTAAAGTTGAATCTATTTATGAATTATAGTGATGGTGCGTGTTATATCCGCACGAATCGATGCCGCCGTTCTGCTTATTAATACTGCGAAGCTGCATCGTTTTGGCACCGGTGAAACTCGGGCCAATACACGGTCGCGGTCCTTCTCGATATCGAGAAGGCCTTCGACCGTGTGTGGCACGAGGGGCTGGTCCACAAGCTACGGGACGCGGGCCTACCGCACGCTCACGTGCGACTGCTCGGGTCGTATCTGGAGGGCAAAACATTACGGCCGGGGTTCCCCAGGGTAGTGTCCTATCACCTATCCTATACGCCCTCTACACCAATGACATCCCCACCCTGGAGGGTCACCTTCGGGCGTGGGAGGAGGACGTGAAGTTGGCCTTGTTCGCTGACGACTTGGCCTACTTCTCGTCCTCTCCGTTCCCCTCTGCAGCCATTATGAGGATGCAGAGGCTTTTGGATTTACTGCCCCAGTGGCTGGACCGTTGGAGAGTCGCGGTCAATGTGGGAAAGACCGCGGCCTTACTCTACGGTCCGGTCCGTATCAGAGTCGTCCCAAAGAAACTCAGCCTCCGAGGTGTGAATGTCGAGTTCAGGACCACGGTCCGGTATCTCGGATGCGACATCGNTGAAGTCGGCGAAACGTTTGAATATATAGGTACAATAATTATTATTGAGGTGTGACTTTTCAAAACGGCTTATTTCGGGTTCCCAATTTTACTTATTTTTTTAATGCCAATCG